GGGATATTTGTCTTTATGTGCGTATGTGGGCGTGTGTGTGCGTGTGTGTGCAAGGCTGTGACCCAGCCATGAATAAAGCTTTAGAGGACCAAAGCATGAGGTGCCACTGTCAGATTTACAGCTTTGGCCCAAAACTTTATAGAGTTCATAAGGTCACTTCACATAAAATCTACGCAAACACACAAAGCGCCCTAATTTGTCTCAGACCTGGGCAAAGCTAATTGTTAGAATGGTCAGCAGCATCACAAATGTCAGGAGAGGCGTTTTACGCAACTCCGTGGCCGCAAGAGGGAGACGGGCAAAATAAAATCAGTAACAGCCATGCCCCCCCCCACTACCACCACAGCTGCCGATTGTTAAAACAAAGCGGCTTCTTCAGCTTTCTATAAAAGCCCGAGTCACTGATAAGATGCTAAAACCTTGATAAGGAGCTGGGGGTCCCAAGCTGTGCTTTTGTGAGAGAGCTAATCGGGAGCACAGATCCACCCACCCACTCTGCCTGGGGGTGGGGGCGTGGGGTGAGGGGGTGTGGGGGTGAGGGGGTGAGGGGGTTGGGGTGAGGTGGCGGTGGGGGGGGGACCCCCAGGGGCTGAGCTGTCACAGCCGCCCCTCCCACGGCCCACGCGCGATTTACCGCCGCAAAATGTTTAAAAGGGCCCCTTTTTAGTGTGACGGCTGGTGGCAGAATGTGTCTGCCGCCGTTCATATCTAGGGCCCCTTGCTGTCGATGTTGTCGCTTGCTCAGCTCTGCCCGGCTACCGTGGGGCTTCTGCCGTAATTGCCTGGCGGTCTGACTACCGCATGCACTTGTTGTTTTCGTTCAGCCCTTTGTCAATCCACTGCTGGATGAAGGCCGCCCCTCGTGCCTCGTCGGTCGCGAGAGATGTGTGGACGCGCGCGAGTCGCCGCGCTCATCGCCCGAGGGTTGTCGAAGGCGAGGAAGCGTAAGGCGGACGTGGGAGCACAGAAGCGCAGTACAACGATGGATGTTCTGCCTACAGCGTGCCCATAACACCCGTTACGCATGGCACTCGCATGGAGGTTTTTAAATGGACACCGAATAATCAGCCACGGTCGATTCACTGCTGGATGAAGGCCTCCCCAAGCCACCGACACCTCCCATTATCCTGCAGCGTCGCGATCCACCGACCACATTCCAGCAAACTGAATGAATTTCTTCATCTTTCCAGTGGACGCCCTCCCTCCGAAGAATTCCATTCCTTGGCGGCCACTCCGCTATTACTCTTGGCCATCGACCATCGTCCCTTCGAGCCACGACGCGTCCCTACCCCCAGCACTCGAGAGGCAAATCTCCTGCTCCCCTTTGCAATAACGTCGCGGCAATTTGTAATTGCGAACGAGCCCGACCGAGCCATCATCTCCATATATAAGAGGCTCAGGATGTCTGCAACAACTCAGTGGCTTCCGCTTCCTGGATCGTCTGCTTCGGCTCCGAAGACGAGACACGAGAGGAAATATCAACGATGTATTTTTTGAAGAGTGACATTTTAGCTGTACGGTATGTGCATAGCCCTCTTCAGTGGACTTTGCAAGGGTTTAAATCTTTTCAGATTGCAATGGAGGAAATATACATGATGTATTTATTTCATAGTAAAATGTTATTCTTATCTTTTACAGCCATCTTTTTGATGTATATCTTATTTATTATGTTTTTATCTATCTTCTATCTACATTTTCTAACTACCTTAAGATAAATCTTTGATTGGAAAATACAAATAAAAAATGCGCAAATCTTTATGTAAGATCTGCTAGATCGGCGTACGCTACGCCGGGTACAGCGAGTATTTAATGCTGCGCGTTGGCTCGCATTGCGGTGGTCGTGTGCTTACTCCACAGGGAGGGATAGGGGCGGCACAGCCATCTCGTGCTCTGCACTACAAACCCCATCGTGTGAGAGTTTCATTCCTGGACCCCCACCAACCCCACCAACCCCAGAGGAACTATTGTCACACAACCCGAATGAACCGCAAGCTGTGGCATGGCCTTCATCATTCAGCAGTGGATTGACAACGGACTGTGAATTAGAAATGTATTTTTGACCTGCGACAATGGACGTGGAGTTTTACGTTTCGGGCAGAACGTCGCCAGGTCACTCGGAACGGCGGAGTCATTCCAGATTTTTCGTTAAAAGCGACTTTTACAAAAAAAAACCTGTAAAAAAAACGCCACAAAATGCGCGAAAATCCAAAAAGGAAATGCGGGTCCCTACCTGGGAGAGCGCGCAGCAGATCTTAGCGAGAGCTCGCCGAGCGGGAGGAGGCTGCCCTACGCCACGCTTATCGAAGCGTTCACGCGAGGCAGCGGCGAGGAGGAACGGCGGCGGAAGAATTCCCTCGCTCGGCACGCTCGCCCGGGGCACCGCGGAATTGTCCACTCGCCGGGTCGCCGCCGCCGCACGAGCGGGCGGGACGAGCGAGCCGGGCGAGCGGGCGGGACGAGCGAGCCGAGCGAGCGGGCGAGCGGGCAGCGGGGGAGGTGAAGATATTAATCCTTCTCACCTGCGCCTGCGTGGATCGCCCTTCGAGACGCGGCCCGAAATTAACCGGCAGCGCGGCGGCAGGAAACGCGCCGCGCGTGATTGATGGGCGGCGCGCACGGCCCCTGCGCGGGTCGGTGCCACCGCCCTCTCTCGCCCCGAGCCACTAATTAAAATCACATCATCAAAGCTCCCGCAACATCGTTCCTCTTGCTACCGGAGCTCGGCGGCAGCGACGGTCGTTCTGGGCGGCGGGGGGTTAGGGGTGCCGGGGGGGGGGGGGGGCACCGTTGCTGGTTACGACTCGGCGTCACGCTCGCCGCGCCGGACGCCGCGACGGCACGGTGACGGGCGTAAGGAGGGCTCTAACGGCAGGGCAACGCGATGCAACGTGGACTCACGCGGCATCTGAAAGACACCCCGCATCTCAAGAGGCTGCACGGGAACCGTAGGGTTATTTATATTATTCAGAGACACAGTCGGCCATAGGTCTACGTCAATTTGAGGAACCTTCATGCGAGTCTATGGGTTTGTATGCAAGTTTGTGCAAGAGAGTTTACATTGATAAAGCACCTCGTTGTGTCTGCATCCCAAGACGCAGTACAAATAGAGGAAGCGTGCCCCTCCAGAGAGTTTGAAGAGGGATTTTTACAGCAGGGAGCGATGGGTAGAAGGAATTGAGACAACACGATGGTAGAAGTACAAATGCAGACACTTAATCGAGGGCGAGAGAGAGTTAGCTATAGGCAGAAAAAGAAAGGAAAGTCTTGAGCCTGGACTTGGGTACGGCAGTCGACATCACGGGATGGCTGGGGGAAGGGGGAGTTCCAGACCATGGCAGCGGTAGCAGAGGAAGAGCCAAAGGTCGAGCGAGTAAGCCACGGTACGGAGGAGTCGCCGCGTCGCTGACGCGGGGGCCGCAATCGTCGCGCCTAACACGGGCGCAGAAGCGAGGTCATCCCCGGGTCTCGCCGAGGGAGGAGGAGCAGATGTCCTCGCCGCCAAGTGCACGGCTGCTGACGGTTTGAGCCACCCGTATCCGGCCGACCCGAGAGCACGTCACGGGAGGATTATCAACAACAGCTCTGTGCACTTCAGAAAGAAGAAATAAGCCTGATCCTCGCGCAACCTCCCCCCCTCTCCCATCCCCTCCCCCCTCCCCCATCCCCCCTCCCCCATCCTCCCCCCTCCCCCATCCTCCCCCATCCCCCCCTCCCCCATCCCCCCCCTCCCCCATCACCCCCATCACCCCCCTCCCCCATCCCCCCCCATCCCCCATCCCCCCCTCCCCCATCCCCCCCTCCCCCATCACCCCCTTCCCCCATCCCCCCCTCCCCCATCCTCCCCTCCCCCATCCCTCTCCCCCATCCCCCCAAATAAAAACAATTCCTTGGTTATTTGCAACGCGTGGCCGGGCCGCGACAGAAGCTCGCCCGCGAACGCCGGCCTCGATGACCCAAATTTCCCCGGACGCGAGGGACGTCGGAAGGTCGTGGATTGCGGGGGAAGGGAGAGCGAGGCAGAGAGCCCGGCCCCCCGCGGCCCCAGACAAATAACTAAGAGTGGAGACTTGCGATCCAAAGTGCCTCCACCCCCCCCCCCCCCCGAGCCGATAAATAGGCAGACGCTTCACACGGCCTCTAGCCGCACGCCGCACGCCCGGACGCGCGAGCGTTGCGCCGAGGCCAAGCGAGATAATGGGCAAGCGTGGGGGACTTGCGGGCACATGCACGAGTCTCAATCGGGACAGGGCACCGAACCGTTCCGATGTCACCGTTACATCTTCCCGTGAAACGAACGACGGCGCTCGGCTGGCTCCGCTCGTCGCGGCTCAGATGGCGTGTTCCGAGTCGGCAGCGGTGCGGAATAAACATTGTTCTGCCGTCTATAATTACGGAGGCGTAAACCTTCGGTAAGTGTGCACGAGATGGAGCCACGCAGCGTCGCGCTCGTTATAAAGGTGCCCGTAGCCCTTGCACATCTCACCCACGACCAAATCACCCCCCCCCCTCCCCCCGGTGCGCCCAATCTCAGCGACTCTCGGAAGCTTCGCAGGCTTGAGCCTGGCGAGTGCTTGGACGAAAAACCGTCCGGGAATGCGACGTGTCGAGTCTCAAGACTCCACCGCCTCTTGACACGGATTCAGGAGGATCCCGCTGCCTAGTGGCACTTTGGCCTCGCGTGGGAGAAAACCAAAGAGCCCGGAGGAAACCCACCACGCGTCATGTCGGGGAACATTCAAAGTTCCACACAGATAGATTCAATAATTCATGGCTGGACTGTCATTACTTGGCTACCTCAGCCCAAGCCCACAACCCCCTATATTTACAGGCAGTTTCCCATCCGAGTAACAACCAGGCTCAACTCGGCTTAGCTTCCAAAGTTTGACAAGTTCAGGCACATTCGTGTTCATTTGGCGGAAAACATCCATCACCGTCGCCCTCTCGTCTCGAACCTTCGGCCAATCACGCTCCTCGCCCCCTCGGCCAATCACACTGCTCACCTCCGCGGGCTGCGGCTGGGGGATGAGGATCTTGCAGAGTTTGCTCCTCCCTCCCTCCACCTCCTCGCACGCAGAGTTCTCCGTGCAGCCCCCGGACGGGCCTCCCTTCAGCTCCGCCCGGGACAGCTCGCTGGCCACCAGCGCCTGCTCCAGGCCGTCCATGGGCCGCACGTACGCCGTGGGCTTCTGCGGCACCAGCTGGGGTTTCGACGGCAGGATGGCGGCCGAGGGATCGCCGCTCGCCGTGTCTCCGCCGTCCGAGCCGGGCGCCGTCTCGCCGGCCGTCCCTGGATCAGCGCCGCTCTTGCCGGATTTGCAGCGCTCGGACGAAGACCGGGGCGCGTGCCGGGCGCGGCCGTCTCCCGAGGCCCTGCCGAGGCTCTTGCTGGCGCCTGGGTTGGTGCCACCCCCAGTGGAGGAAGACGAAGCGGTTGGTTTCGGCGCGGCTTGTGCCGCTTTGTTACCGGCGCTATCTGATCGCGGTGGTCGAGAGTGTCCGTCGCGGGAGCCGGCGGCGGTGGCGGAGGAGGAGGAGGCAGCCGAGGAGGACTGAAGACGATGCAGCCTGATGATGATGATGAAGTCGACGTTGATTCCGGGTCGATGGTGGCAGGCCGCGTCCCGTTGTGCTGCGTCTCAGGGTGCCCGTGAGTCCCCCGGCGCTGCTGCTGCTGGAGACGACTGGACCCGCTGGCCGAAGCTGAGCCTGGCGCCGGAGAGGAAAGTTCACGAGCCCCTCTCGTTAGGAGTCCATTCCTGACTCATCATCGTCAACAACATCGTCACGATTCATCCTGACGTCACCATTATCGTAATGCTCATCATTTATGTCATCATAGTTGTTTGTGTAACAGGGTTTCTGACCACAGGGCCCAACGGCCCAAAACGTCAAGGGGTCAGCAATAAACAGCACTATTACATTTATATCTGTTTTATTGCCAGAAAGGGTAAACCCTATTATTATATGTCACTACCTTAAAGTTGTAATGGATAAGTGTGTAACATGATTCTTGAATTGAGCAAGTTTATTGTTGTAAGAGCTTTGGGGGGGGGATAGAGACATTGGGAAGGAATTCCAAAGTGGAGTAGTGCGAGGGAAGAAGCAGAAAGAGAGAGATGAGGCGACCTGCAGTGTGGTGAACGAGTGGGTGGGTGGGTGAGCGAGCGAGCGAGATCCTCAACACACAGTGGCTATTAGGGGAAACGAATTCAAATCAACCCTCTCCAGGGAACCTAATATTGTCTCTTTTACTCTTGTTTTATCATATTTTTGTGTCATCCGTCTCGTGAGATGTCCTTAGTTTGGCTCTTTGAACCTCAGGAATTTCCATTGGATCTTGAAAACCATGATGCAGATGATGATGATAATTAGCGTCATCGCTAATTGTCAGTTATGGGGGTTGTCTGACCATACTTCACCACGCCAGTGAGTGTGGGTTGGTAACACGATGCACCCAGGATGAGTTCCGCGTCCTCAGGTCGCCGATTTCACAGCGCATCGCGCTAACCTGTACGCCACCGCTGCGGCCACATCACTCATGATGATGATGTCATCATCACTCATGATGATGTCATCATCACTCATGATGATGTCATCATCACTCATGATGATGATCCAACCGTGTCCGTCCAGTGCTCGCTGAGCTGCGTTGGCTTCCGGTTGCAGAATGATACATTATGAGATCGCACTCACCAAACGCAAGGTGCTTGTCACAAACGAACCGCAATACCTTGCTGATCTTGTCAAGGAGAATCAAGCGTCATCACGCAAATCCCAGTTCTCCTTGGCCAACCATCGAACAAAAACGGTCACTACATCGCGCGGCGCTTTCAGATGCGCTTCTGCTGCCGTCTGGAACGCTCTTCCTTCCGATATTAGAAAGCCACTGGAGCTAGGCACTTTTACACTAGATTGAAAACTCATTTCTTTACAACTGCTTTTATTGTTTAGTTTGGTGCCCTTTCCCCGCACCCCTGAGTAGCGCGGTTGACTACGTACGGTGCGAAAGAAGCTCAACATACGTACAATATCACCCAGTGCAGGACAATGACAGGCTTCTACGCACGACCCACACCTACCGCAAAGCATCAACTCTATGCCATTATTGTCTATACCCCCCCCCCACCGCCGGGTTCTACACAGAGCATCGACAGCATAAGCGGGACACCCGGCACGTGAGCCCTCACCGAGATCCCTGCGCGATGCGGGCTGCGCCCCACCTGCAGGAGTCCAACGTCGCCGGCACGCCCGGCCGGGTCTTCTCCGCACCGCCGGTTGTTGTGGTGTCCGCGGACCCTCCCCCGGACTGTCCAGATCCTCCGGCTGGCTTGGCGACGCCGACCAGGTGACTCTGGTTGGACTGGTGAATGATGATGTCCTTCATCTCGTCGTAGCTTCCCAGCGTGCTCTCCAGGCGGCTCGAGATCTCGTCGCCGTTAGTCTGGGGGAGCAGCGGAAGACGACGGAATGAAAAGTGAAATCGTGGGCGGCCCGGCCCCCGTAACGGCCTTCAGTCTCAACGTTGTGGCGAGTCGCATCCAGCGAGCGCAATTTATGCCTGGGCAGCACAGCGGATTTGAAATCCGGAGGCTTGCAATTTTATCGGCCGGCGCGCCACGTAAACAATGGGTCCACCTCTCAAATCTGCCCGGCCTCTGTCCACCCAGCGGCACACATGGGTGCACCACAGCGGCCAAATGGCAGGTCGCGCGGGGTGGTGGGGGTAAAGCGTGCCACGTCTGGCCTGCGCGGAAGAGGTCGGCCACAATACCTCCTTAGAAAGGTCTGTCTAGAGCTCCCTACACTCTGCGAAAGCCCCCGTTGCCAGCGGTGACGTGAGCGAGCACGTGCGCGGGCTGCGCCTTCGCCGGTGACGTCACGAGTCACCGCCACCGCAGCCCAGCCACCTCTACTCGCTTCGCTTCAAAATCATCGCCTCCCGTACAACACGAATGGGTTATTACGTCTAAATGCCATTACGGGGAATAGAAAATTGTTGATAAGTAAATTCTGCGGGTTCTCCGGTGCACGGGAGGCGGTAATGGATTGCTCCTTAGTGACAACATGCGCCTGAAGGTGCTCGTTAGTTTGGAGAATATTGAATTTGCACGCGCCACAACCACGGCAGCATTCCATTAATAAACACACATATATATAAAACAACAAAAATCTATATATTTTTTGCAACCATGTATTGCAGTAATAGCAGTGTATGTAAAATTACATCACGCGTGCTGATTATTTTTCCTGCTGTAATAAGCGCGGTTTGCCCAGGTGGCGGGGGCAATGTTCCTGGCAATTTCGAAAGGGTTTGGTTTTTTCTTTGCTCGCCGCACCGTACATTTTTAACATCCTTCCTCCCCACGTAACTTGAAAACGACGGTGGAGGCAGACTTCCAGCAAGCGGGACAAATTCGTCGGCGCGCAATCGCGCCGCGTTTTGTTTTTCAAGAAGCGTTTCTTGAGAGGCGAATGAACGTGTGCAGAAATATATTTCCCGACCGGAGAAACGGAGCGAAGGAAACTGATCGGCGTCAGAGTCGGGGAAACAACGACGCGTGCTCCTGGACGCAGACGGACGGACGCAAGCGACCGGGCGCTGCGCACACCCGGCAAACAAAAGCAGAGGTAAAGGCGCAGGGCTGTAAATTGGTTGCTCGTGCCACCGCCTGGCAGAGTGCAGCTTGGAGGCTATATGGGCTACCTCTTCCACACTGGCAAGATATTTCGTGAGAGGTGGGAGTTCCCACACTTTACCCCACCACATGCGGCCTGCTGATCAGCCAACTGTGGACAAATACAGGTGGGTGTGGGGGGAGATTTAAGAAATGTTGCCACACCATTTTAACCACTGCGCCACGAGATGGAATGGAATTGAACTGGTGATCTGTGGGTTGCGAGTGCGGATTGCGAACCATTACACCACGTCAGTGTGCAAATAAAAACGCGTGTCTAAATGCGCGCGCACACACACACACATCATAACGTGGGTGCGGTATAAATCCATCAGCGGGCCGGTGAATGAGGAGTGTGCATGACTCAGGCGAACATTTTCAGCACAATAAGATGACCTTTGTGAGCGGCTGCCTCACAGCGTGAGTCTCAGGCCTCCCGCAGAATCAAATAGAGAAAAATCCGTAATGTCATTGATTTTTTTTTAACCCTCACCCTCCTTTCCCCTACAGATATATACATTCTTTTTTTTACGACACAACAATTTCCATGAAAAGCTTTCATGCGAAGAGCGGCAGCGGTGATCGTGACCAAAGGACTACATTTGCCACGACGATAAACTTCACCCGACGACGATTAATCCCGATAAACAGTTTTTGTTAAATGAAAGAAATTAGAGCGTTTGACATGTCAACATGAGCCGTGATTTGTTTCCCTCTTTGCACAACGGGAATGCATGGATACTGAAGCGTTGTCTGAGCTCGCGTGTGAGAAGCGGAAGGGCCACGCTGTGCTACGATCCGGCGACCTGGGTAGATTCCTGGCCATGGCTAACGTCAGTGGCATGTGGTTGCCTGCGCCTGGGCCTCTTTAAGGTTGACTCAGCCTCAAACGAGTAACTGATACAGTGTGTAAACCTGATCGTGGTGGGGAGGGGGGGAGATAAAAGCGTGTAGGCATGGTGCTGGAAACACCATCCTCTGGTGTGTGGTGCTGGCTTTAACAGGTGCTCGCACACAATGTTTTCTGCAACAGTCAATGTGTGTTCACGTGGGGACTGGCCGCACGTTGGTTAGCTCACTGCGCTCCAAACCCAGTGACTTGGGTCGGATTCCTAGCCATGGATAACATTAGTGAAAATTGGTAATATATATACATACACACCAGTGTGTTTGTGTGCGTGCGTGCGTGCCTGTGTGTGTGTGCAGGTGCTGGGTGCTTTATTATATCGCAGAATCGTGAGTGATGGCGGCGGCCTGGAGGAGGCCTTCATCCAGCAGTGGATTGACCATGGCCGCTGTGCGTGTTTGTGTTTATAAGTCTGTGTTTGCATGCACGTGTTTGTGTGTATTTGTGATCCGACTGTGCGAACAGTTTGCAGGGTAGGGAGCAAAGGTGGTGGTGCATCTGCCAGTCATCCAAGTCAGTTAACCAATGGCAGCTGGGTCTATCCCGTGACCTCCTGTCACGGAGCCTTCGACACTTCACGTGGCCTCAAAGTGCATCTAGCTTGGCAAACCCATTGTAGTGACATCACCTTCACTTGGCGGTGGATGGCGGCTGCTGTTGTTGTTGTAGGTCGCTAACAGCGCTTGCCCTAACAATCTGTTAAAGGCTTGCGGGGTTTTTTGTTTGGGGGATGCAGTGGCACAACTGTTAGCACGCTGCGCTACAAACCCTGGTCACCCGAGTTCGATTCCCGCTCACGACCAGGGCCAGTGACGATTATCTGAACCAGTCCTGGGCCTCACCTAGGTCGACTCAGCCTAAAATGAGTACCTGATGCAATGTGTAAATATAGCCACGAGGGAGACAAAAACGACCGAGTGTGGTGCTGACCACCGACCCCCTCGTGCGCCGTGCCGCCCTTCATAGGTGCTGGCAAAGAGCACTTGCCCCAACAGTCCGTTCAGGCTATACGGCGGGATCGTTGTCTGTGCGTGCGTGCGTGCGTGCTCGCGCGTGTTATTTCAGGCAGCAGCAATCACTAGTGCTGGGTCTTGCCATTCTAATAGCGGAGACACAGTTGAGCCCCAACAAAAGCACACGCTGCATGCCAATGGATCTTCATAAAACCGGCCGTCCGGCCTCCAGGGGTTAGGGCGCAGGGGTGGAGAGAGGGGGGCCAGGGCATTACGTCTCTGTCCGAGCCATTCCGAACGGAAAATTTTTATAGTTATCAGCGTCGCCAGCACGCGTATTTGCCCGGGTCGCGTGCCAACGGAGCCAGAGAGAATGGGCCGGCTGCAACGCTGGACCGCGGCAGAGAAGGCTCGGCAAAAAGGGCCGGCTTTGACATTTCCGAGTGAACGGTTTGCACCCATTTAGTAGACGTTTAATTAGAGCCGTGGTGTGAATTCTTGGCAACTTTATTACTGCGGCGATTTTAGTTCTTTTTTTTAAATAGACTTTTAAAAAACCGGGTCGAAATCTAAAGGGACATCCTAATGGTGAGATTTAAAGGGAAAAAAATACGAGCGTAAAAAAAGATAATTTTACAATGATCTGTTACTAATAAATTGCAAATCCCATTTTTACAATTAATTGTTAGCGGCCTGATGCGTGTATGTGTGTGCATATGTACTTGTGTTTTTCTAAATGTGTTTATATAAGTGTGTGTGTGAGAAAGTGTGTGCGTGTGTGCTCACAAATTTGCATATGTGTGAGCGTGGATGTGAGTACGTGTGTGGAAGTGTGTGAATAAGCGCACTTGCGCTATGAACTCGGTGACCCGAGTTTGATTCCCGCTCACGGCTAACATCAGTGACAAATATCTGAGCCTGTCCTGGGCCTCTCCTAGGTCGACTCAGTCTTAAAAAAGATAACTGGAGCAGTGTATCCGCATCAGCACTGGTGAAACGAAATCGGACGGGTATGATGCTGGCCATCCACCCCTTTGTTTGCCGTGTCGGCCTTAATAGGTGCTCGCTAACAGCACTTACCTCAACAGCATAAGTACATGCATGTGTGTGCACGTAATATATGGTCGCGCGTATGCACGTGTACGTGTGTATGTGTGATTTTACGTGTGAGAGTGTGTGCGCGTGTATGTAATCACGCTTGTATGTGTTCACGCGTGTATGCACATGAGCACACGTGTATGTGTGATTGCCCGTGCGTGTGCATGCGCGAGTGATAAATGTGACGTTTACCGTGAATGAAACTCGGCCCTGCACGGTAATAAAAGCAAGTGCTTGTATGGGAACGTTGCATAACAAATTCGAGGCCATAAATTTTAATAAACTCCGTTTTATTGGACCATATTTAAAGGGCCCGAAGCCCCGAAACACAGGTGAGTGAAAGCTAAAAGGGAGCGATGGTCTCAACAAAATAACACTCTGCACAACCGTGGTGAAACAAAAAAAAATGCTAAAATCAATTCCCCAACAATATTTCTCTCAGGATCAGTTCGGGAGCAGGAAAAACATTTCGAGACGACAACAAAAAAAACGTATCGGCGATGAGCTCGGTGACAGCCAAATGGCTGCGAGAGAAATATCCGTGGCATGCTGCGTTCAAGCGACAGTGCAGCCACCTCTCCTGGCTTTCCCAGGAACGCCCTCCTCTCGAGGCCACCGTCCTGGGAAATCTTCCAAGAAAATTGAAAGCCCCGGTGTGTGTCACTTGCGTAATGGAACCCGAGGCGAGACAATTAGAAGGATAGGCTGCCGTGGTGTCAAGTTCAGCGCACTGGACCGGCAAGCCAGAGGTCGCCGGTTTGAGCCCATCTCCTGGCGCGCGAGTTTCGACAATGGAGCAAGTTTATGAAATTACACCCCCGTACCCCCACTGCGTCTGTCCACCCGGCAGTATAAATGGGCACAACCACATCCAGGCGGTGGGCGGGCCGCGGGTGGCGGGGTAAAGTGTAGGTGGCGGCTCTCTCTACAGCCCCCCCACTCGTGGAGGCCCTTCCAAGACAACGCGTTGGCCTTGCGAAATAATCTTCTGGCCCACGCCATGCCCCCGGTGTTTTTGCTACATCTGGAGGTGGCGGCGACCTGAGGCGCAACCGCCCCGCGTGCAGGCTGCGGTGGCCTCCCCCCAACCCCCCTCCCCCCACCTCACACACCTTGTAGGGGGCGGAGAAGAGGGTGGCGGAGGAGGCCTGAGACGGCGTCGTCACGGCACGCCAGCTTCTGGTTGCGCCGCTTCCACTCCTCGATGCGGCGCGCATCCCGGTCCTTGCCGAAGCAGCTGGGGGAGAGCGAGGGGTCGGTGGGGTCGGGACGAGAGGGCGAGAGAGAGAGAGCCGGTGAACAGGCTGGCCGTGCGAACACAACTCAATCCCGTGAGGAAATCATACAATACTAATTGCTCTTCACGCCTATAGCAGTTGTCTTACACATGTCTTGGCCCTGGCCATGGAAATGTGGAATTTTATTCGTGGGATTTGGGCTACCAACATGGGACCTCGACCTCGGCACGCTCAAATGGCTCACGATCAACTTGCCTGCAATGTGCCCGTTCTCATAACATCTCTACAGCCTGGGTAGTGCTTTGATGGGCGACTGCCAAGTACATACAAAGCAGGTGTCACAGCTGGTACAGGCTGCTGCAGGGCGACGTGGTGAGCAGCAGAGGGCAGTGCAGACAAATCCACGGATGTCCTGTAATTATATGCTTCCCGTCAAATCATTGTGTCAATTCACCGAATCCTTTGAAAGTGAATTCTTACATTTAGATTGGATAGTCCATGGACTGTAAGGCTGCCTAGGCAAGAGAGGAAATCGAGGTTTTGGAAGGCAGCTCATCGTAAGCTACGATAAATCCACCGCTGCAAGAAGGCTCCGAAGCCGTGGCCATCTCTCCCGGTGCTGCGATAGCGACAATCTACCCGCAGCAGGCGCTGACGACGTGAATTCATCACTTTACCCGAACGTCATCCACCCCGACCCGGTCGTACACAAGTGAATGACCGAACGCGACGCTTGTGGATGCGTCCGACGCTAGTCGACCTTTCATTACGGCCCAGCGAATTTTTGTTGCGGCACGTAAAACAACCGCGGTCCGAAATTTCAGCGGTGCTGGACAAAAACAGGGCCCAAAAGAGAAGCACGCACGCTTAAAGCGAGCTGCCTGGTGACATCTCCGCGCGGGCGGTAAACACCGGCGCGCCGGCGTTTACGGATTGCCACACAGCGAATTATGCATGGTAAATAAACGCGCGGGCATTTCCCGGCATCGAGCGCGGCAAATAAAAAAAAACATTAAAATAAAATCGCGGGCGTAAAAACGCGACGTGTGAAAGCTCCGTCTGAGGCCGCGCGGCGAAACGCGCGACATGAATCGTTGCACTCCGAGTGCTTTGCTTGGCGAGTTCCGACAGCACGGAACACGGTGACCCCGCGGGCCACCGTGAAAGGGACGCACTGAGATCTCGCAAAATTTTATGAAGGAATCGCCCTCAGCCGAACACGAGGTGGGTTCTTTTTTTTTTAAGCAAATAAATAAATAAACACGGCCACGTGAAAAAACAGCTCCTGTGTGGCCTTGTTTAAAAGGGGGCACGTGCGCGCGCGAAAGGGAGACGGGAACTTGGTTTTCTTGTTTTTAATTAAATCGGTGGTCTCTGCCTCCCTGGCGCGGATGTGTCGACGCCGAGAGCCGTGGCACTCGAGGGGCGCGTTTACAGCGTTTCCTTTCGTAATTACGAATTAACCCAGTCGGCTATCCGCGCGGTCAACTCAATCACCGTCGTTTTATTTCACAGGCGCGCCTCTCGCTCGTGAAACGAGTGTCAGGGCCCAAACACACGATGGCAGTAGCCCCAGCCCTGGCCCCAACCCGAACCCCCAGCTCGTTGTCCATCAACGTGGAATTTGAAGATGGAATACCGAACAAAAATTCACATGGCCCATTGTGAATCTAAGACCACATTAATATTAAGGAACCAAGAGGAATCGACACATGCCAGGTTTTTTCTTCTTCTTTTCACCACGAAACCTAATCTCGGCAATTTGTTCTGACCTTGCGGTGGCACAGACGTTCTCATCCTCACGAGATCCACCAACGCCACGACGAGCGGCCAGATCAAAGCAAGCAACACCTATGTCGGGGCAATGACCCATAAGAGCGTTTAGTGCAGCAAGGATCGTGCTTAAGAGTGACCACTATGCTTAACAGGTGCGACAGGCTGCGGGCCTACGTTGAGGGCAGTGCTGAAATCTTATGTTGTACTGTATGTCACTGCTCCCCACCTTCACCAATCCGCACTGACCAGTATGGTGAAGTAAGGTCAAATAACCCTCCAAGTAACTCTGCACGGTGTGGGGAGACGCTCACATGAACCTTATGGCGGTACCCCGGGGTATCATAGTACCCGGCTCTCGCACGATGTCCGTGACGCAGTCATGTTTAGTCTGTTGATGGCCGGCGATGCGGCAATCGACTCATCTCGACGAGCTGTGCACGATGCACCACTACGGTGCGTACGAGCGTTCAGGGTTTCGGCGGAATCGTTCTTGCTGCGTCGCGGAGTGAAGTACACCCCTGGAAAAAATAGTGTCCCAGAAATAAAATATTTAATTGCCTCAGCCATTTGGTACCCCGAGGTACCGCCACAAGGTTCATTTAGCAGTGGATTGCCAAAGAACTGTACATTGCAGCAATGAGACCGGATGAACATCATTGCGTGAGCTGGGGGTCAGGTGGCAGTGGTCTCTTATTATATCCTCGGCAGCTGTCACCGGGACACACTGCACCGTGCAAACTTCACTCGCACCTTCAGTTCGCATGTAAATCTAATGTCAATCTACCCCGGTCGCCCATTGCCCCCTTTTCCACCGTCACTAATGAGCCGCGCCAGCACAAGGCACCTGACAGCACGGGTGGTTTGTCCCACTGGCTATTTACCAAGCCAAGCCAGAGCCACACCGTCAAACTCGGGCCTCACGGGACATCTTAGCACAGGGCCAGCTCGGGGCCAGGGGAGGGCTCAACATTGCCTCCATCGCGTGCGACGTCAGCGGCACGACCAGGATCCTGGAGCGAGAAAACAACCCGGCGCCTCTTGGGCCCGTGGCAATCTGCTGGCTCGGTACGGCTCGCGACGCGGCACGGTTGTACGGTGGAAAAAAAAGAGTACGGCTCTGCTCCTGTAAAATTTGCGCCACCCACCATCACGGAAGTCTTGGTTCACCCCGGCTCGCAGCAACAGGCGCGCACGACTTAAAACTCTCAAAGCCGAGCAGCTCACCCGGCATGTCAGCCAGACGAGACACGTCGCCCAGTCACGTACGTAGACAGGGTCGAAGTGACACAACACTCACACAGCCGCGCTGTCCGGGTCAGGCCATCCCGGAAAACAGCTGCACGCATCCAAATTGCGTGTGCCGAGCATTCTCAGAATAACATTTTAACTTGCGCCACACCGCCACTCCTGCTCTGTGCCGCCTTCTGAACGTCCACAAAGCTAATCTTACTTGCAGACAGGGAGAAACCAACCGATGAGTGTACTATTATCACATTCATCAGCCATGATCAATCCACTGCTCAATGAAGGCCTACCCATGTTCACCACTATACGGTACCTCACCATCCTGCAGGTTTCTATGAAGCCTCGTGCCTTATTTATTGTGTGGGTGTGGGAAGAAAGGAACGTTGGAAGGGTGTTTTTGTTGCCTTCGATGCAGGTATGTACACAAACGCCGAGACCTATGAAACCAATCGATAGCACGCGCAGGCACACGGTAGCCCAGGCTGCGGGGCTTCAAGGTCTACGTTTGAGTGCCAACTAACTGCGCAAGGTCACAGTAGTCCGCACACATTCTGGGAAGAATGTCAGCTGCAAGACCACAGGCAAAGCCGCAACCTTGGGGCATTCGTACGTTCTATATAAATAGATATTAATTTAGAGGGTACTCACAGTTCGTTAAGCCCTCTAAAAAGAGCACAACTGGAAAAAATCCCATGGGGAAAATTTAACATGCCGAATTTGCCGTGGACTGAATCCAAACGTAATGCATTCCGGTTAGCGGCCGGGTGTGGTGGCGCACGTCTTGTGGCCCAGCGGATCGCGTGCAGATTTTGTGAAACTCCTCAAACCCGAAAGAAAAGCAACACAACAAGTAGGTTCATGAAATGATCCCTGCAGACCTTTGGGTGTTCTGCCATCTCACGCTTGAGTTTTCTCCCCGGGTAATCTGGCTTCCCCTCTCGCGTACAAAACCACATGTAGCACCCTCCTATAAACAGTGCTTAGGCTCAGAGAGGCTTTCCTGAATAAATAGATTGGATTCGTAACATGAAAGGCAGAATGTGTTTCATATTTAACACATACAGATGGTCATGATTCGCTGACTGAATTAAGTCAATTTTAATGTTCTCGTAGTAAAGTGCTACAAAGCTGAAATTCAGTACAATTAAAGTGAAGTCTACGGTTATGAAACCTTCAATTTTGGACCTGCAAAATTTGGTGCACAAAAAATTTCACTCGTCTTGATCCCGTGGACGTTTGTAAGTGGACGGTTTTAAGGGGGGCCATTCAGAAATTTTACATCGCGATTGAAATTTCCAACTTGGTCTGGTAACTCTGAACAGGTATGACGCCAAAGCCGACAGAAAGCAGGCACGGCCTTGTAACCGGCTAATAGAATAAATAATGGACCAGGGACACTCCATTCAGACGATATGTAGGTTAATGCTTTGAGCCAGGCTCATGGGACTCTGTGTCAGCTGCCGCCTGCCTCATCTCAAATCCCGGAGCGGACCGATTACAGCGCGGGATGGTGGCGGCGCAAGACCTCAACGGTCGTGTGGTTGCCATGACGTCACGAGTAGCCCCCCCCACCAACCCCCCCACCTACCCCCCCACCACCAACCCCCCCCCACCAACCTTCCCCACCAACCCCCCCCACCAACCCCCCCCACCTATCCCCCCACCAACCCCCCCCCACCTATCCCCCCACCAACCCCCCCCCACCTACCCCCCCACCAACCCCCCCCCACCAACCCCCCCCCACCTATCCCCCCACCAACCCCCCCCCACCTATCCCCCCACCAACCCCCCCCACCTACCCCCCCACCAACCCCCCCCCACCTATCCCCCCACCAACCCCCCCCCCACCTACCCCCCCACCAACTCCCCCCCCCCACCTACCCCCCCACCAACCCCCCCCCCCCACCTACCCCCCCACCAACCCCCCCCCACCGACCTGCCCATAACCCTGCAGAGTGGTTTGCCAAAGCTTCGCTTC